CAAGAAGAAGAAGAAGAGGAGGATAAGGAGGAGGAGGTGAAGAAAGAAGAAGAAGAAGAAGAAGAAGAAGAAGAAGAAGAAGAAGAAGAAGAAGAAGAAGGAGAAGAAGAAGAAGAAGAAGAAGAAGAAGAAGAAGAAAGAGGAGAGGAGGAGAAGAAGAAGAGAAGAAGAAAGAGGAGAGGAGGAGAAGAAGAAGAGAAGAAGAAAAGGAAAAAAGAGAAAAAAGAAGAAGAAGAAGAAGAAAAAGACACCCCGACACCCTGACACCCGACACCCCGACTGTCATGGGGATGACCCCCGGGTATGCCAAAGACAGTGAAACGACGCTTCAAAACATTGCCAGGAAGTGCCCCTGACTGGTTGGAATCTGGCTGGGTTGACTTCGGCCGGGTTGACCTATCCGGGTTGACCCTGGCTGGGTTGACCATGGCCGGGTTGACCTGTCTAGGTTGACCTTGGCCGGGTTGATCTTTTCGGGTTGACTTTGGCCGGGTTGATCTGTCTGGGTTGACCCTGGGCGGGTTGACCTAGGCTGGGTTAACCTGTCTGGGTTGACCCTGGCTGGGTTGACCTCCGCCGGGTTGAGCTGGCCGGGTTGACCCTGTCCGGGTCCTCCCTGTTCGGGTTCTCCCTGGTCGAGTTCTGCCTGTCCCGGTTGAGCTGTCCGGGTTGAGCCCCGTACGGGTTGATCCCATCTGGCTGGAATCTGGCCAAGTCAACTAAGACGTCCCGTCGGACCTGTGCAGACATGACGGCCATACTCTATAGTGGAGCACTATAGATGAGCAGCCAACACTCTTCCTGCATCATGTGACACTTCACCACACTCCAATAGTGGCACACTATAGCCTGCATCATATGACATCTCAATAGTGTAGTGGGTGTGTGAGCCACCCCTTGTCCCTGGGCACTAGTATATAGAGTGACCCAGGGGAGGCCTCACACACCGAGCCTCATTTTGCCACTCCCACGCATGCATCCATCCATGCTCATTTGGCCTTAAAGGCCACACACCCTCACGGGCATACATGCCCAGACACCCATTCGGCCACACACATACATGAGGCTAACAGGATATAGCACTCATCTGGATATAGCTCAAGGAGCAATTCCGTACTGCTACATATCAACCACACTCGGCAGGATTAAGGGTATTATCTCTCTGGAGAGCCCCGAACCTGGGTATGTCTTACGTCCCGCGCTCGCTCATGCCAACCTCACCTCTGGAGCCCACCAGTGCCCTCGAGCCTCCTCCTCTCTTTAGCCTTCCCATGGCATCTGCCGTTCGACCACCACGACAGTTGACGCCCACCGTGGGGCAGCTCGAGGTCCTGGCCGGAAGCATGTTCCAGACGGGGCTCCCCTCCGACTCCGACTCCAACGAGCCTGTCAAGCTACCGCGGAATCCGCGGTCTTGGCGGGAACATCTTCATCATCACTGCGGCGTCGTGCCATCACTTTGGTAGCGCTCGGGGGTTCGACATCGACCAGCCCCCGGAGCGACCACGCGGGACGGTGCGTCCTCGTCGTTGGCATCATCCTCTTCGTGATCACCACCGCACTGCGCCGGCTCCGCCCCCGGCGCGGCCGTGCTAGGCGGCGCGTCGTCGTCCGTGTGCTCGCCGCCCCAGCCCCTATTCCACGCCGCCTCCGTCAGCTCGCGCGTGCGTCGTGTCGCCTCGCTTCGGTCGGCAGTATCCATCCGCTGGCCGCTCGCGTCCGCTCCCCTCTGCGCTACGCCTCGCTCCAGCCGGAACGCATGTTCGCTACTCCATGTATCATCTATACAATCTAGCTAGACGCAAGTCATATAATGGTCAAACCATTAGCCAACACCCATGAGACAATGACCATGCACTACCTTGATATTCCCATACACTGCTCCACCAAGCACTGCTCTCGCCCGAAAATATATTTTTGAGCAGGTGCGCCCCGGCCCGCTTATCCTATGCGTCCATATCCTTAGGGATCTGTGCCAGCCGTTCCCGTAAGAATCTCCTGCCACGGTTATCTCCTTCGTGTTATTAGTGGGACGGGACCGTGACCTACCCTTACCCTAGGGTACTGTACAATGAGATAAGGATAGATACTACCGGACACTCCCGCAGGCGGCCCGTGACTCTGGTCCATCTGCGTTCCCCTTTGGAGTAGCCATCTCTAGGAGCAGGCGGGGGCAGCGGATTCTTTTAAAATCGAACATGGAGAGAACCCAAATCCGAGCGGAGGCAGGATTCGATTCGCTGGGATAAGAGAAGGCGCGTAACCAGCCGCAGGTCCGGGCCGGCGGCACCGGTACGAGTTTCGCCGCCCGTGCTATCCAGCGCCGGGATGCAGCGCGCACCGCCGCCGGTGACATCCCGCGCCGTCTGGTATTGTCCGGATCCACCACAGGTAAATACGTGATTTATTCTATGCGCATTGGAGTTTTGCTGTCGGGATGTAGTCTATTTGGGAGTACTACACCCAGTTCGTTGTTTAGTTTTGGGCAAATATCAGGAGCATTATTAGCCCTGGATCCTCTGTTTTGCAGGTCAAACTAGGCACGGGGTTGGGACAGCAACATCTGTCTGGCGTGCACACTTCGCCGTCATCATGCAGGTAAAATGACATGCATGCATAGTCGTGTTCTTCGTTTTGTTCTTAGGAAAAGGGGCCCCGGGATGCAAATGTCATGGGTAATACGTCAGATGTATAGTAGGTTTTTTTCTTTATTGTGCTGTTTTTTGTGATGCGGACGCTCATGACCTTAGGTGAATCGACGAATGTTGGTAATGTGGCATGGTTAGTACAGACGAACTGATATGTTACAGAGTGCATGAATCAAATTATAAAGACATCTATTTTTAGTTCATGTGGTGAGTGCTGATCTGGATATGCGCTCCAACAAAAGAAAAAAGTAACGAAGCATTTCTAGCTGTAAGTTGCCATTTTTGCTTCTCAAACACTGAATTGATTGATGATATTATTCTCTTTCATACCCAGGTTGATGAAGGATGATGTTTGGCGCTATATTTATCTTTATGACATTTTACATCTCAAGGGAAACAATGCAAAGAGGCCGCATCAATTTATCGAGTCTATAGATGAATGAATGAATGAGAGTGAAGAGGCGGGTAACGCAATGGTGAAAAACCAAGAAGTATCTTGGGGCACAACTTGTATGGGGTGATTGTTTTGGGTGCAAGCGTTATATGATATTGAGAGCTGCGATAGTGCGATATGGCTACGAAGACTAGTTAATTATGTTGTCAACCCATGTAGCGAACTTAATATCGGGTACATTTGCATTTCTCAGACATAACCATTTATCGCATTTTTCGTTAGGGAGGTCAATTGATGAATGTCCGAGCTGTGATTTACAAATTTAAAATATTTTTATAATTGGTTCCTAAAGAGACGTGCGGTGATAATTGGACGATCACCATTCATCATACGATCAGTGCGTGTCGTGACACAATTCATGATTCTTGGTACATATTGAGATGGAAGTTGTACCTGGCACATGATATTCTTCCGACGTACCACCAGCCTTTTTTATCATGGGAATGGCAAGGTCCCAGATTGAGTAATGTGCCTGGCACATTTTGCAATTTTTTCTTATGCATCCATGTACCTGCCACGTCTCCGAACTGCTGTCAATCATGTCACCGTGGAGTATGGTACAGACACGAGACATGTACAAGGCACAGGATGCAAGCGCCCAGCATGCTGGTGTTTCAAATGTGAAGTGTTACGTGCGAGGCCCATGATATGTGTCCAGGTGCCAGGCACATGATGCGTAACATGGCAGTCAGGGGGGTGCTCACATCAAATCCGGTGAAAAATCTACATTCATGCATTTATGTGATTAAAATCCAACAGAAAAAGGTAATCAAACTTATGCCATACTCTTCAAAGCAGAGCATATGACCATTGGTAATTCCACACCAATCAAACTTAGATGTAGACGCAGGTGCTGGATAGGTTGAAACTTACACATAGTCTCGTACCACACCGAAAGTGCTACAAATCCGATCCATGACGAAGTACACAAAAGAGCAAGCAGATATGAGCTGCTCCCAAGTTCAACATGGCATCTATGTCTATGTATAAATAGTCCATGCCACGCCTGTGGAACGTGATGACAACAAGATCATTTTCCTTCAGTTCAAGCTGACCGACACACTTCGGAAAACCTCCTTGTATGACGAGTCTGCCATCGTTTGCCTTTTTGAATGAAGCCGCTACAAGGGCTCCTGTATCGTCATGCAGCAGAATACTCCCTGAATTATCCATATGGCCCGTTTTGCTTTCAATAAGATCAACAGCCTTCTTCGGAAGCCTCTTTCAAATACAAACAACGACATTCAGAGACGAGTGGTCAGCCATTTACTAAATTTGACACGAAACAACTTTTTGTTTTGTCAAGATAATAGAGATACGTTTACTAACCATGTAGCCACCTCTAATGTCAACACCAGTCATCTTGTGTACAAAGATGCAACATATATCTTCCAAGGGGGTGAAAGCACGTCTGATCATCTTTCTCATCTCTGGAAATTCCAACCGTATCCCCCTAGTGTACACACACTGGTCGACGAGCTCGCGATGCACAAGGGATAAGCCATTCAGAGCTGCCAAAACCACAAGTTTTATAAGCCATGACGAATAATTCAGAGAATCTAAAATACTCAGTAAAGAGTGATAACTCAGACTCGCAGATTTGATGCCTTAAACTTACCGATATAAGGAAGTGGGGTTTGCCTTATGCCACCCATCTCAACTTCCACGAAAAATCTTCCATCACCGCGAGTAAGGCATATATACACCATGTCACCAGGCCGCACTGCGTACTCGTCAAGAAACCTCTGCCAGCCAGGTCCATGAATCCTGGTCCGAATAGCCCCATGATCGATCATGACTTCATACTCCAGTTGTTCTCTGGTTACAAAGATTGGCGCACCCACGGGCTTATTCTCTCTGGCCACAACGGATTGCACATGTTCAATATATGCGCCGAGCACTTGCCTGTTGCAGCATGGAACAAACTGCAAAAGTTGTGACCCAAAGATGGCAGTTGGTCAAGCATATCATAAATCGCTCAAATTGTCGAAAATATCAGAGAATTGACTCTTGGAAGAATTTGGCACATAGGGCCCGCAATACTTGTTTCCGATATGGTACTGCTTGCGAATTCCATTCGGCCCCATCCAGGATGTTATAAACTTTGCTAACACTGATATTATTGCTATACGGAGATTCTTGATGAAGTCGAATGCAATAGGGTCTATGGTATCATGTGAATTCCACTGAATTTTGTATACCTTGATTCAAACACCAAAGTACTCCCCACGTCAAATAATATAGGAGTGTTTTTTGACACTAATGTGGTATTAAAAGAAACGTTCTTTATTATGGAACGAATGGAGTAAACAAGATTTTCAGAACAGTCTTCTTGAACACATGTAAAGCTTCAGGCCGATTCATACAGTACTCCACAAAAACACATAATTTTTATTGTGTCGACGAATTATTACCTGTTCTTCCATCCAGGCACAACTATGAGGTTTTCAGAATCAGGAGCAGGTACATGTGGATTACAAACAGGGCCGTAAGCACATGAATTAGCGCCCCTCAATGTAGCCGGAGGCGTTATTAATCCGGTGTGCACACTGCACAAATGAGACCAGATTATTTGAGGACATGAATGAGCTTAAACATGAGAACTGACATACAACTGATTTAGCTCCGAAACAAGATAAATCATACTTGGGGTCTGCCGTCGCATCTCGGATATGCGCATCTTCCGGGATTCTCGAGCGCCCCCTTCATTACCGGACTGCCTGAGAAGATTGGATTGCCGGCGGCGGAGTTGGATCTGTGGCCCGGCACAAAATCCATATTGGAAGGGGATTCATAACCTCGCAGGGGAAATATAGCTCAATTGGAGCCCACCCCAGACGAGCAAAGCGAACAGTATTGCAGGTTGATTGATTATTAATTGGTACCTATCGCCGTCCGCCGGAGTGATTTCCAGGCGGCTCCGCGCCGGCGCCATGGAATCGCCTCCTTGCACTCCGTCCATTGAACGATAAGTCAAGGAACGAGCAGGGTGGTGTGTATAGTGAGTCGTGAGTCGAAGTCACGGGTGCGCGTCGGTACATAGGAGGAGGTGGAGGACAAAATTCTGCAGAACCTACGATGGAGCAGTACCCCTATGACATCAATGACCGTAACAGCCATCTGCCACGGTAACGTGTGCACTAAAATGGGATTCCGTGACGGGCATCTTGAGGTACAGAGCGATGATTCAACCGCTACGATAGCGCGGCCCCGACGCAGCTGCTCTAAAAATCCGCGTCCCTGCTCTCGCCTGCTCGAGCTCTGCTGCTCGCTCCATCTTCTCCTGCCTCGCACGCGTCGTGTCGCTCCGCTCCACCATCATGGCCGAGGTCACCTCAATACCCCTGCACGTCGCTTCGCCGGCGCCGTCCTGCGTTGCCGCTGCTCCTTTGCCGGGTCCGCGAACGCCGGCCATTGCCGGGTCTGGCTCCGCCGGCCTCCCTTGCGTCGTTTGGCCGCGCCTCATCGCCGGCTCCGCGCGCCCGCGTCGCCCTGCCTCAGCCGGCTCCAGTTTCTGCGTGCCCACTGGCCAGCGCGGCCTCGGCGGCCTCCGGCTCCTGCGCAACCACTCGCTGGCGCGGCCTCGACCTCGTGCTCGGACGACCACGTCGCTCCTCCTCCGCCAAGCCCCCGTGCTCAGATGTGCTGCTCTGGCTCCTACCCTGCCCGAGCACCCATGCTGGCTGGCCGGGTCGCCGCTGCCAGCATCGGGTCCAGCTCCCCCAGCGTCTTGTCCGGCCGCCTCGCTCCTCCGTGCTCGAGCCCCGCCTCAGTCCGCCTTGCTCCCCCGCGCTCATCCCGCTCCGGCCTCTGCGTCGACCCGTGGCTGGCTCCGCCTTCGCACCGTCCGTCTGCGCCCCCTCGCCGGCTTGCCGGCCGCTGCCGCGCCTTGCGCGGGCTCCGGCTCCCGCTCTGCGTGCCCTCCGCGCAACCCGGCTCGCGCCCTGCCCGGCCGGCTCCAGCCTCACGCGCCCTCCGCGTGACCCGGCCGCCGCCTCCCGCGCGCCTGGTCAGGGTCGGCTCCGAATCTCCTGCACAGCCCGGTCTTGCATCCATGCTGGCTCTACCCCACGGCCCCACCCGCTCCACCTACCGCAGCAGGCCTCTCGTCGCCAGCGCTCGCGGGTTGCCTCCTCGCCGGATCCGGCCCCGCCCCACGCGCCTTTGGCTGGGTGCGTCCGCGTCGCCCCAGGCCGGCTGCAGCTCCCCAGACGGTGCGCCTCGGCTTGCCGGCTTCCTCCCGCTTCTCGCTACCGGCTTCACTAGCGCCTGGCCGCCAGGTCGCCTCGCCTCCTCCACGCGCCCCGCTGCTGCAGCCGACAACCGCGTCAGGTCGCCGCTGGCCCGTTTCCGCTCCAAGCCCATGCCGGGCCTCCTCCTCGCCCCACTCAGGCCGCTGCCCTGCTGCTCCACGGGACAGCTCCGCTCTCCGTCCTGCCAGCTTCGCGCGCCGCTGCCAGCTCCACGCCGACCGCCTCGCACCGCGCTGGGTCCCAGCACCCTGCCGCCCGCCAGCTGCGTACAGAGAGAAAAAAAACCCAGCCGTCCGTGCAAAAAAAAAAGTCAAGCCTGCGGCTTAAAAAAAGAAAAATAAAAAGAAAAAGAAGGCTCAGAGGCCTCCCTCCGTTCGCGACCCCACTCCACCGACGGTCTCGTCGGAGTCGACGTCTCGTCGGCTATGCCAAGCCGGCCCGACCGCTCGTCCGCCTCGACGCTTGGCCTGTCAGGCCCGACCGGCCGGGACCCCCCTTCGAGCACCCAGAGGCTCGAAGGCTACCCCCAGTGGGTATGCCGGCGCGCTTCGCGAACTCCAAACCGCGCCGGCTATCTTCGATAACCTCCACCTCGACTACACGAAAATCAATGTGAGCTCCTCACCCGCATACTTTGGTGCCATGCGCAAACACGGATAACCCCGAGCGACCCTCGGGGACCACATCCGCTTCTTTACAGTTGCACTACTGTTCGCCCCGGTGCCAGCTAGTCTCG